TTTAGGGTTTAGGGTTTTAGAATTTTGGGTTTAGGGTTCAGGGTTTAGGGTTTTAGGGTTTAGGGTTTAGGGTTTTAGAGCTTAGGGTTCAGGGTTTAGGGTTTTTAGGGTTTTAGGGTTTTAGGGTTTTAGGGTTTAGGGTTTAGGGTCTAGGGCTTACCTGTGGCCCCAAAAGGCCTACCTTTTGAAGGGGCTACATATAGAAACCATAGTAAGGAGCCCTAAAAAGGTGGGTCTTTTCGGCTACAGGTCGGGTTTAGGGCTTGGGGGCTTTTCGGGTTGAGGGTTAGGATCTACGATTCTGAGATCCATGGGCTTTGACCGCATCCAGAGATCGTAGAGACCCGGTGGAGTGCTAGAGGCCCCGAAACCCAAACTTTGCTAAACCCTAAGCTTTACCCTAAACCCTAAACTCTAAACCCCTAAACCCTAAACCCTAAAAACCCTAAACCCCTAAACCCTATACCCTAAACCCTAAAACCCCTAAACCCCTAAACCCTGAACCCTGAACCCTCTTGAGCCAGCCATGCCAAGCTTCATAGGGGTTTTGGGTTCAGGGGTTTAGGGTTTAGGGTTTAAGGTTTAGGGGTTTAGGGTCTAGGTTTCAGGGTTTAGGTTCCCTAAACCCTATACCCTAACCCCCGCCCTAAAGGGTGTTCTAAGGGTTCTGTGAAGGCTTCTACACGGGCTTCGCCAAGCTGCACTGGATCATAAGGGTAGTTCTCTAAATTCGGGTCCGTTTTTAGGTCCCCAAATAGTACGGCACCCTACCCCTAAACCCAAAAGCCTAAACCCCAAGCACTCTTTATCATAGGTGTTTACACCTGAGTTCATTCATGGGAAAATGGCACTTTCGGGGCTTTTTAGGGCCATTTTACAGCGAAGCCCTGGCCATACTCCAACGAACTCGGGGGCCGAACTCGGGCCATTCTCCAAGGGCCGGGCCAGATTCAACTCGGGGCCGAGAAAGCCATGTTCCTTTGAGGGCTGAAACCTTAAACTGCCCTAAACCCTAAACCCTAAACCCTAAACCCTAAACCCTAAATCCCTAAACCACTACACTTTAAAAAATAACCCCAAACCCTAAACCCTAAACCCTAAACCCTAAACCCCAAACCTGAAGCCGCAACCCTAAACTCGCAACCCGAAACCCAAAGGAACCCTGAAACCCGAAACTTCTTTTTCGACCCTAATATAGTACCCCCAAAATAGTAGGATCCTGATTATAAGGACCCCAAAAACCCTAAACCCTAAACCCTAAACCCTAAACCCTAAACCCTAAACCCTAAACCCTAAACCCTAAACCCTAAACCCTAAACCCTAATTTTCGGAAACCCCCATATGGGCTCCTTTAAAGCTTCTCTCCGAGAGGCCCGGCCCGAGGGCTCCAACGGCGACAGGCACCGGGCTTTGCCTTCGCTTAGGGTTTTAGGGTTTAGGGTTTAGGGTTTAGGGTTTAGGGTTTAGGGTTTAAGAGATCGGAA